TGCTGGAATTGAAAGTGTATGCCACCATACTAGGCTTGGGCAGGAACTTATCAGAGGAGAGAAGAGAACAAAACCAGCGGGGGGGTGGCATTAAGTCTAGCACTCTGACACAGAGGCAAACTGCTCTCTGTGAGTTCCAGGCCAACCTGGAACTACATAAACCACACAGAAAGATTGTCTAAAAACACCAACAAAACAAAAACCAAAGACAAAGGACAGGGGCTGGAGAGGTGGCTCAGCAGTTAAGAGCACTGACTGCTCTTCCAGGGGACCAGGGTTGGATTCCCAGCACCCACACGGCAGTTCACCAGCATGCGTTACTCCAGTTCCAGGGGATCCAGTGCCCTTCTCTGACTTTCAGGGTGCCAGGCATGCACATGGTACACACACACACAGACAGACACTCATACATATAGAATTTTTTGAAATGCAGGCAAAGGGGGGATGACGGGGCATGGTGATACACTTGAGGATTGTGAATTTGAGGTGCACAGGAGACCTTGTTTCAAAGAAGAAAGGCGTGAGAGAAGGAAAGGATTGGGGGGGGCAGTCTGCTGCAGTGAGCCTGTGATTCCAGCACTTGGGAGGTGGAGGCAGGAGAATTGAGGATCCAAGGTCATCCTCAGCTACCCAGTGAGTTCCAGGCCAGCCTGGGCTACCTGATACCCTGTATCAAAGTGCCCCACTTCAAAACGTTTGTTTTTTTCCTTTTTTAAAGGAGCAAGAGAGCGAATTAAGTGAACCCAGAGGCAGGAAATGAAACTTCTGGGAAAAACATTACCTACACTAGGGAGGATTGACAGGAGGGACTACACTTTCCAGGGGGTTAGTGCCTAAAAATGAAGACAGTTTGTGGGGTAGGGCTCTGGCCAGCCATACATTTGCTGGGGTTCTAACCCTCAGGCAACAGGAAGTCAAAGTAGAGTTTTGTGAGATTTTTTTTAAGCGTGTGTGTGTGTGTGTGTGTGTGTGTGTGTGTACACATACACACAGTGCTTGTGAATGCTAAAGGCATACCGCCCCCCCCCAGACTGCCCGAGGTGGGTGCTGGGAATTGAACTCTGGTCCTTAGAAGAACAGCCATAAAAAAACCTATGAGCTATTCCTCCAGCGCCCTGTTTTGTTTTGCTTCTGAAACAGAGTCTCACACTGTAGGTCAGGTTGGCTTGGAACTATGTAGTCCAGGTTAGCCTCAAACCCACCTCCAGCCTCCTGAGTGCAGGGGCACAGGCATGAACCACTGTGTCCAGCCAAATCTACTTTTCAGAAGAAAACCCCTGGTGACCAGTGAGGAGGCAGGATGACAGGAGAAGAGGCAAGGGAGGCGCCTTCGGAACACACAGCACCGCACGAGGTCACAATCACAGGACATTAGCTTTGAACAGGCCTGTGCACCCGGCATATCGATAGACTTGATAACACCTCCAGATTTATCAGCCATGTCCCAGGCTAAGTACTGAAGGACAGACAACAACGATCTGACCTACAGTCAGAGAGACAACTGAACGCAAGCCAAGGACACACATTTACCCCTAGATGCAGGACCTTGTACACCCTGACGGGCACAGGAATTTACACACATGCCGTGTGGTTGTCAAGGGCCCTACCCTGCCCCCTCTGTCTTCTCCAGGTCCCTCACCACCTCTGGCAGGAACAAAGCTGACCTTTGCCCTGTGGCCTCTGGCCTCTCCTCCCACACCCCCTGCCCCAGAGGGAGGAGCTGTTTGAAGTCTGGGCTGCAGCTGGGGTTTCCTGTTGCCTGGAGGAATGTGGGAGGACTTGCACAGGGGAGGGCAGAGGGGCTGGGCTCAGAAGGAGGGCTAATGGGGGACTTGGGGGCCTGAGTCTCCACTGTGAGAGGGCTTCCTCCTTTCCTGTTCTCCTGGGCCCCAGCTCTGGCTGGTAGAGGTGGGGACCTAATGACTCCAGTCCAGTGGGCTTCTTGTTCTTGGATCTGCAGCTTAGTGACTCCGGAAAGTTCAGGGAAGCTTGTTAGGGTCCATTTTCTTCTTGTATGGACTAGGCTGATTCCTCTCTTGTGACCCAAACCTCCCCCCAAGAAGACCCAGAACCTCTGTATTTAGGTGGGGACGTCCGCACCTCTGTTTCCTTTTGCATGAATCCCAGGGATTTGTCAATTATTGCCATGCTTTTTAGGACTCTCCTGTACCTTGCCAGTTTTCAAAGGATTTTGTTTTCAAGAGAGAGTCTGGAGACAAGGAGACAAGGTCAGCCATGTCTATCAGTACAGCCAGAGATGACCTTGAACTTCTGATCTTCCTGCTTCCACAGCCCCTGTGCTGGGATTATAGGCATGCACCACTATTCTCAGTGTATTTTGCAAGGCACTTCGGCTTCGATATATTAAGTTCATCTCAACCTGACTGTTTTACTCATGGGGAATCCAAGCCTCCTACAAGAACACACAATAAATAAAAGCAAGATCAGGCGTCCCTGGGTCCCAGTTTACAGGGCCTTCAAAACCTTCAATCCACACATCTTTGTTGTTTTTTGTTTTTGTTTTTATTCTGAGCCTCTGTTTTGGAGGCTATCCTGGAACTCGATCTGTAGACCACGCTGGCCTCGAACTCACAGAGATCAGCCTGCCTCTGCCTCCCGAGTGCTGGGATTAAAGGCGTGCGCCACCAATGCCCGGCCGATCCACACATCTTTATCTGGACTTTCAGCAAGATTTCCTGGAGATTGAATATACCAGGTTTTTTTTTTTCCCCCATTGAAACAAAAGTGGTTGAAGGAAGCTGAGACCAGAAAGAGATGGAAACTCTCGGGGACTCAGCTCTTTTCAGCTTGGGTTACTGATGCAGATCTGCAGATTGGACACTAGGTGGCAGCAGCAGCCCACAGAATATTTCATGTGTGGCGTTTGGGGAACCCCCAACATACTTTGGAGAGGTTCCATTTAAAAAAAAATTGTTCCTAAATTCCAGGAAGACTCTGCTGTGCTTTGTTTCCAGTGATCTGCAACACTTTGGGGCTCCCACTATGTCCTCAGAGGGAGACACCTAAAGCAGCTTGGAGTGGAGAGGGCATACTCGGAAAATTCTCCCTAACTTCTGTCTCCCTTTCACTAGCCTTCTTTCTCCCTGCTTCCATGCTTTCCTGTATTACTCCACCCCGTGCTCTCCCTGAATTAACTTAAACAGTAAGGGTCTTCGCATCCTGTAGTAGAGCCTCAGGGTGGTAAGGGTGCATGAGATTTAAGACCTGGGGGACCCTGGGCTTCTCTCACTCTCTTCAGCGTTAAAGTCTGCACCGGGGTCTGCACGACAAGACACCAAAAATGTCATTTATTCGTGATAACCTCAGAGCTGGGATTTGAAGCTACAAATACCTACTGCTTTTATTAATATCTGACCTTATCATAATCAGTTCCCAGGGTTACTTAGTAAGAGAAGCTGCCTCTAGATTGAGGCCTCCCCAGCAGGTCACATGATGCCACATCAGTGGGTATACTTTTTAGAGCCTTTCACCTCTCCTGTTACTTGTCTTCTGGAAAAATTCCAGGTGTTCTATAGGAGGGGGCTGGGGGGAGTGAAGGTCCCGGGAGGGTGGCGAGAATGTGCTGTGGTTAGCAGAATGTCTACTTTTGACACATGTTGACTAGCCATTACCCTCAAAGTCCAAGGAAGGCTCAGAAGCAGGTGAGCCACGGAGTAAGGGCATTGCCAGAGGAGGTCCGGACATGGGCCAAGATGGACCAAGCCAGCAGCCACTGGGCAAAGGCATGTCAGACACAGTTGTGAAGTCGGGATCTGCTCAGGAACCGTCAGTAGACATGTAGCAGAGCAGTGATCATGCATTATTCATTTGTGTCTCCTGCAAACCTCAGCTTAACACTTGCCTACTGAAGTGCCAAGGAGGACACGCGGACGCACGGGAAGGTCATCCAGAAAGGGGGACATAGGGGACCACCCCTCTTAGCCACTGCCCAAGGGTTAAGTATGCGAGCTTTGGAATTAGCCAGAGCCTGGAGTCACCACTTTCGAATCCGGACACCTGGGCCTCAGAATTCCTGTATCTATAATTGAAATAAGGTCTTCTAGGGTTGTTGAGATGCTCAAGGGCTTCGTGGTGCCCGGGTGCTCAGTAAATGGCAGCCGCAGGAATTCTCCTTTCCGCGCTGTCCAGCCACCTCCCTGGGGTAACAAAGCCTTCCTCAGCGGCGCACATTCCCATCTGTGGGGTAGACAAGGCAGGGGGCCCAGAGCCAAGGGCTGGAGAACAGATGTGACCTGACGAGGAGGTAGGTGAAAGTGCTGAGCCCAGCCCCCACGCCGCAGCAGGAGCCGGAGAACTGTTGAATTCGGCTTGCAAACAGTTGTTCAAATTCGGGAAGAGGCATGGTATCTATGAATTGCCCAGGATTTTTGCGCCCTCGTCGCCCTTGGACAACAAAAAGTAGGCGCTGGAGGAATTAAATCCAGGGCTGAGTTTGAGGGGAAGGGCCACTAAGTGCGGAGGAGGCTTTGGCGTTTCCAGAGCGGTTTTCTCGCCAGAAGCCTCTTCTGAAAGGAAAAACGTCCCCAAATCGAGAATGTCGGTCCTCACTTCTCTCCATGATCCCTCTCTACGTGTTTGGGACACCCCAGAAAGTCGCAGCCCTCTTGGCTCATCCTCTGATGCCCTATTCCACTCATTCCATTCTCAGACCCCGCCCCTGCGCTACCACCCGCAACCTCGGCGCAGCCAGAGCCCGGGGTAGGGGCCTCGGAACGCTGGGAATGTTCCTAACCCTGGAGGAGGATCAACAGTCCTAGATAAAAACGGGACTCATCCCGGCCAGGAAGACTCAGGCACAGGGTCCGCTTCGGGCCGCGCCGTCGGAGCAGCGGGAGCGACCCCGCCCGCCCAGCGCGCGGAGCGGCCGAGTGGGGACTACAAGTCCCGGCGTGCCCTGCGCGCGCTCCCCCCTGGGGTTCCGGATGGTGAGCAGCGAAGGTAAGGCGAGCTCGCAGAGGCAGCGGCGGCGGCGGTGGAGACGGAGAGAGGCAGGCAAGGCAGGCAGGGCGAGGGCGAGAGACGGAGGGAGGGAGCGAGCGAGCGAGGCAGACCAGACAGACAGACAGGCGGGCGGGCGGGCAGAGCGAGCCACCCGCCAGGCTGCGCTCAGCCCCGCTCGCAGCGGAGAGAGCAGAAGGCAGGAGGAGGGAGGGGAGGAGGGAGGAGGGAGGGAGAGAGGGAATCCAGCTACCACCACCCAAAGCCAGCGTCTGCTTTCTGTCCTCATTTCCTTTTCCCACCCAGCTCGGAGAGCAGAGAAAGGCAGAGAGAGCGAGAAATAGAGACAGGCAGACAAACAGACAGACAGACAGAGCGGGAGGGAGGAGGGCGGCGGAGGAGGAGCAGGAGGACTACGCGGGGCGCCTTCCCTCCCAGGTTTGCAATTGGGGGGGTTGGGGGCGGGGGTGTCCAGGGCTGTGAGAGTGTGTGCGCGGCTGGGGGAGCGAGTGGGGCTCAGATAGCGAAGGAGTGATCGTGGTGGGGGGCGCCGCGGGAGCGGGGGGCCGTGTCCAGCAGAGTTAGCGGCGGAGAATGTGAGCCGAGGCGCGAGCCATGCTGTCAGCGACGGCAGGCGGCTCAGGGCTCCTCTACGACTCCTCTTCCCAGCAGCCGGGCGCCCGCGTCGCTGCCGCTGGCGGAAGATAGACGCCCCCCGAAACCCCTCGCCTGGCTCGGACCCACGGAGCCGGCAGCCCAGCACTCCGGTAAGTAGCGCCTCCTGCCCAGCTCTAGACGCCGCTGGGGACCGGCCGGTCAGGCTCTTTTGTGCAGCGCACTGAGGGGGGGGCCCAGCGCCCCCAGTCCGGTCCGCCGGACCCCGTGGCTGCGGTGCCCGCGGTGCGATCGGTCTTTGTTTCCACCGGGGCCCGCGGCTCGGCTGGGCTCGGCTCGAAGCCTGGCAGGCAGCGCCGGGAAGGGGAAGGGGGAGGTGGACGGGGAGGGGGGGCGGGGAGGGGGTTCTCGGGTTTCCTGGCCGCCCCGCGGCTCCCCCGGCTCGGGGGCGAGGTGCGCGCCCAGCGCTGCCGCGCACCCCCTCCTCCTTCCCCCTCCCTCCGCCTTTGGATTTAAAACTGCAATTTGCTCTCCAGCTTGCTGAGAATGTGGGGGGGTGGGATGTAGGGGGACCGTGGGAGCGGAGAACAAGGCTGGATTTTAGGATAGGCGCTGGGAAAAGGGGAGACTGCGGAGGGAGGAGCCCCTCCCCTCCAGCCCCCAAATCCCAAGGTTCCGCTGGCGCTCTGGGAGTTGAGGGGCGGGGACCTAATGACCTGGAGGGGGTGTGGGGTGGAGGAGGGATTTGGGGGCGGCCTGGCCAGAGGGGTTGGGCCGCGTGCCCGGTTACCTGGCGAACAAAGTCGGCTCACTTTTGCATAAATAAATAAATAATCGCCTATCAATACGTTTCCTCTAGGGCTCTGATTGTATTGGGCCCCCTCTTCCCCAGGGGGTGGGGTGCTGAGTGACAGCTGTCAGCCCCCTAGGTCGGGAGCTGGGGTGAGCTGCTGAATCTCTGCTTTCTGACTGAGGGCGCCTTTCCCGGCTGGGTCTGGGTCCCCGGGCAGAGCCAGAGGGGCAGGGGGCTGGCTCTGAGACTAGGAAATAACCTTGTTTCCTGTTCTACAGGAAAAGGGACAGCAACCCAGAGTTTGGGGGCTGGGGATGAGGACTGATGGGAGCTGGGGGGAGGGTTCCCCAGCAGTCTGACCCCCCAGCCTCCTGCCAAGCAAAGGGGCCAGCTGAGGGAGGAAGGATGTGGGCCTTGCTGGCCGGAGGCGGGAGCTGGGGCTGTCCCTGAGGCGGGCAGCGGGCACAGATCGCACAGAGCAGGAGGAGGGAGAGAAGCGGGGGCGGGAATTCTCTACCGCAGACCCTAGGGGCCAGGGCCAGATGTGGAGGGGTGGGGAGCCTCCCCTCCCTCCCAGCTTGGGGGCCCTGGGGCTGGGCTGGGAGGGGCTGAGCCTGGTGCCCTCGGTTCTGCACCAGTGCCTGACTGGCAGGGCCAGCTGAATTTGGGCCCAGGCGTCACCCTGGGAGGCAGGGCTGGGCTGCACCAGCCTGGTCCCTGAGCACAAGGAGGGACCCTTGGGGGGCCTGTGCCTGTCTGGCTGGGCAGGCGTTTCCCGCTGGACCAGTTGGTGTCAGGCGGGACTTGGCCCCAGCTCCCTGGGCTGAGCTCAGGGTGTGAGGACAAGCTTTGCCTCCGGGTCAGGGTGGCCACATTCTGTCCGCTCTTGCTGTTGCCGCTGGCAGGGAAGGGGCATGAGCCCAGGCCTGGGCAGAGTCCTGCCAGGGGCATTTGGGGTGTTTCTATTGTTGACTTGTTCCTGTTCGGTGTGGCCCGGTGTGTATGGCTGTAAGTGAAAGATTACCAGCCTGTCCACCCCCCTCCCTGCGCGGGAGGAGCAGGCAGGCTCGGTTGTGGTGGTCAGCTGTAGAGGGACCCTCGAGGTAGCACATGCATCCACTTGTTATTGCCTTCCTTTGAGCAGATGCGTATTTATTTTTATAGTAATGGAAAATCAAACTGGATAGTAAGTTGAATTCATTTTCCCCCGTGTCAATAGTTGGAGTAACCCCCAGAGACTGATGAACTTACGGCCCCAGAGCTCCCCACCCTTCAGAGGTGGCAGTGACTGGTGAGGGTATAAGCTTTGGGAGCCCATGGGCATTAGCCCAAACTAGTGACTCATCACCCACTTGGCCTGGCATTGGAGCAGGTGCCCAGGTAGGGCAGACTCTGCCCCCTCCCCAGGCATCCCCAGGGTGCAGTTTGGCCATTCAGTCACCTCCCTGGCTAGAGCCTGAGTTGTGCCGAAGCCCTCAGGGACATTCCCCTGGTGGGCTTTCTTCTCCGCCTGGGCTTCAGGCCCACGTGCTGATATTTATTTTCTGTACTAAAATCCATTTTTAATGCCGTTACTTTTGAAATAATATAGAGAGAAACAAATGTGATGTGTTTAAGTTGCCCTCTGTGAGTTTTTAATGTGATCTATGGCTGAGGTAGTGATGGAAAGAGCTGTTGGGCTTGGAGAAATCTGTTGTCAGAGAGAAAGAGAGTTTGCTGTTTATTATGGTTGTTGGTTTGGGGGGGTCTGGGACAAGATTGTGGGGTCAGGGAGCCCCTGACACCCCCAGGTAATGTGGGCAAACAGTTTCTCAGTTTTAATGTGTGAGGTGTCCAGAATTATATTGTTCCCAGCTCAACTGATGGGACCTTTGGTGATGGGGTGGGGGGGCAGACACCCCTACCCACCCACCCCCACCCCCCGCTGCCATGTGCTTGGATATTGGCAGGAAGAGGTGTCCTGCTTGCTGAGTTTAATAGAGGCACACAGTAGGGAGGTTAGACTTGGATTCTGAAAGATGTTAAGGGGTAGGGGTTCTAGCTCATTGTGACTTTGGGGCAGACTGTTCCTGGCAGAAGACAGTTGGGGTGGGTGCCCTGGTAGAGCCCTAGGGGAATGTCACCCTGAAGCATGCCTCTGCTCCCCATTGGACCTTGATTCTGGTGATTTCCCCCTCCTTGCTCTCTATATAACCCCCAGAATAATTTGTGCGCCTATGCTTGTGTGCAAGTGTGTTTGTGTGTATATGTGTGTGTGTGTGTGTGTGTGTGAGGGGGCGGAGCTTGAGCAAGCTCCATGTCTTCTGCCAGCCTCCCAAGACCAGGGGGTGCCATGCCTGTGTACCAGATGCCCTGGCCCTTCTGGTCTGGCTGGGTGAGGTCAAGCAGATGCACTATTATGGGATGGAGCCAAGCTCTGTCTCTGGTGGCTGGGATCTCTTGGGACACAGAGAAGGGGCAAAGCCTAGGTGTGGTGGAGCTGCTAGTTGAAGCAAGGGTAATACTGTTGCTAATGCCAGCAGATGGGCCCCCAAGGGGGAGAGAGGGGGTGGGGGAGGAGACCCAGACAGCCACATGCTGCTGAAGAGAGGGAAAGGTAGAGCTGTAGCCATTGAAGAGAGTTAGGGAGAAAATAGGCAAGGAACGCCAGATCTCAGGGTTCAGCAGGGGGCCCCAGGAACCTCAGAGGGTCTAGGCACGTCCCACTGCCTATACATAGCCAGACTCAAGGAGGCACTGAGGTCTTCACTGTCATGACTGAGTGTTTTTTGGCGGAAAGATAAGCGCAAATGTCTCTGGGAAATGGGGAGGACAGGTGGGAAAAAGAAGAGGGAAGAATTCACAGGATGGGGGGGGGGGGAATGCCAGGGGTCTTGACTAAGCTGCCAGCCACAGCGGCTTTTCCTCTCTGTTCTTCTCAAATGTCTGGGAACCAGGCTAAGGTCTTGGGACCTGTGGGCGGGACCTGGGCTCCGTGGAACACTCCACAGGTTGGCAGGTACCCTGCGCTAGGAGACACCCATGTTATAAAAGTGGGGGACGTTAGCACCCCTAAGGTGTCTGCCATCATTCACTGGGGTCCTGCCTCTTCCCACTTGTCAGGAGGAATCCACATCTAGAGAGGGGAGCCCAGGGTCACAGACACTGTGGCAACGCCAGTGTTTTGTGCACTACTTCACTGTAGCTGGAGAGCTAGATCAGCTGCAGGGGGGCCTCCTCAGCACAGAGGGGGGCTGGAGCCTGGGGAGAAGAGCAAGCAGGCACCCTTGTGGCCAGAGCCCCCTCAGGGGAGGGGGAGGCTCTGCTGCCAGGAGAGGGAGGGAGGCAGGGAGGGGAAACAGTGAGTCAGGCTTCCAAGAGCTGAGGATGTGAGAGCCAGAGCTTGGAGGGAGAGGGCAGGGAGGGCTGCTCTGAAGGGGGAGAGGGAGAGAGCCTAGCCAGGGGCCAGGAGAGCTGCGGAGGGAGGCAGCCAGCCCCTGGCCCCAGCCCAGTGTCACTGTAGGGTGCAGCCAATATGGACTTTGCCTGAGGTAGGTCAGGAAGGAGCCTTATTTTGTCCCTTCTGCGTCTTTTTCTTGGATCAGTCTCATTGCTGATCTGACCCCTGGGTTTCAGGAGGATGATAGTGTCTTCCCATCCCTTCCCTCTTGTGCCTCTTTTTCTCTGTCAGTTGTGGGACTTGAACTCTGAGCTGTTGGGGAGGGAGTGAACACAGCAGGCTGGAAGAATGTTGGAGGTGCAGCCTTAAGATGATGGCTGGATGCTGGGGTACTGTTGGAGCCTGCTGGGAATGCAAGGTAGGCAGCCAATCTCTGGGTGTGTGCCCCTGCGGTAGGGGCAAGTGAGTGGGCAGTGACACTAGGATACTGTGCGTGTGTGCGTGCGTGTGTGTGTGTGTGTGCGTGCGTGCGCGCGTGCGTGTGCGCGTGTGTGCGTGCGTGTGCGCGTGTGTGCGTGCGTGCGTGTGTGTGCGTGTGTGTGCGTGCGTGTGTGTGTGGGGGGTGGTAAGGTAGCTTCTAGTTTGGAAGCTGTGAGCGGTGGGTAAGTCGCTTTGTGCTTCTCAGGATGGTCAGTGCCCTGACTGGACAAGGTCCACACATGGCCCAAACCATCCTCTGTTTCTGGGCGAGATACTGGTGTGGTTCTCCCCCACCCCCATATCCCTGTGGGTAGATAGGAGGTAGAAATGGCCTCCTGGAGTTGACAGGAACTATCACTATAGCCCCTAGTGCCTGGAGTTGGGAGGGGTCCCCAGAGACTGCCTGGAAAGGAGGAGAGAAAGAGCCCCTCCTGCCCAGCTGACAGGAAGCCCTGCCTCCCAACCCCTCCTTCCCTTAAGGCCTAGCCTTTCCCTCTCCCAGGATCCCTGTGTCTCTTCCTGTTGGCTAGGACCTAAGGAAGGTGGGCACTGAGGAGCCTTCTCCTACAGGGTCTGACTTTAGAGACTAGTGAAGGAAGGCTAAACTGAGCATCCTGCTAAGCCATGTATGAAGGCAGCTGCAGGTAAAGCCTTGCTTTTGGTCTTCCTGCTCTGGGATCCTTGGCCTGGGAGCCTAAGGGAGGGGCCACTTCTGCAGCTGGCTGGCCTCAACTCCCAGAGTCTCCCAGATGCTGTTGAAGCCAGAAGCTGCAGGTCTTGACCGACTTCCCTTCCCCGACCTGAGGCAGGAGAGGCCTTTGTTGACCTAGGGGAAGTTAAGAGGAGAGTGGGGGTACCTTTCGAAGGACTAGCACAGACAGATGGGTGATAGAACAGATGGACAGAGACACCCACGCACAGACAGACGGAGAGAGATGGACAGATGGACTGGGACAGGGAGAGACGGACAGACAGAGGTGCTGGCAGAGAGTGGAGTCAGAAAAACGGAAAGGCTGAGGAGACACAGTGTAAGTGAGGAGAAAGATGGGGAGAGACTGAGAAACAGGAAGAGATAAAGAAAGGGGGAAACCCGGAAAGGGGGGGCGACACACTGAGAGACTGGCTGACTGACTGGAGGCTACAAACCACAAACAGGAATTTGATGAGAATCTGGAAGGTGTTTTCTGCCTGGTCCCTCCCCAAACCCCCAGGCCAGCCAGCCAAGTCTCCATTCCTTCCACCCCTGGCTCAATTTCCAGCTGCTAAAAGAGGTCAGGGAGAGAGAGAGGGAGAGCAGGGCCTTTCCGAGCCCCTTCTTCTCTGCTCTTCTGTTGGAAGGGGAGGTTGCCGAGTGAGTTCTCCTGGCCCCTAATCCAGCATAGAAATGTTTGACTTGCTCGTCTCAGGAAAGGTCCTCATGCTCCCTACTTGCTGGAGAGTGTTCCTCTGTGTAAATGCGCCCCTTGGCTCCCACCCGTACATACACATTTTGTGACCTGGCGGTTCACCTTTATATTCCCTCCCTCCTTCCCTCCCTCCCTCTCAGCTTTTTATTCATTTTTATTTTATTGATGTTTTGCCTGTGTGTGTGTCTGTATGAGGGTCCTGGATCTTGGGATGACAAGGAGTTGTCAGCTGCCATGTGGGTGCTGGGAACTGAACCCAGGTCCTCAGGAAGAGCAGCCAGTGCTCTTAACTGCTGAGCCATCTCTCCAGCCCCTCCATTTGGTCGCTTACCATGTAACAGATAACATGCTTGTGCTTCCTTAGCTATCCAGGTGGTGACGCACGGGCCTACTGTGAGGTCTCAGATGTGTTGTCACAAGCTCAAACTCTGACATCATACAGTGAGAGTCATACCTGAGCAGAGGACCCCCATTCTGACCCAGCTGATAGAGGATCTCCTCGATGGGTAGAAGCTCTCCAAAGAAGGCCAGGCAAGGCCTGGGCACAAAGGTGCTATGGAGGATTGAGTAGTGAGAAAGGCTACCTGAGGAGCAGTAAGGGTGTGTGTGCATACAGACATGAACACACGTGAGTCTATTGTGGAGTATGTAAGAAAGACTGAGCACCTGTGAGATGGGGTATGTAACAGAGAGAAAGAGTGTGTGTGTGTGTGCAAGAGAGAGAGGATTGCTTGGCAAGTATCAATGTGGATGCATGTTTATGAGATAAAGTATAAAGAGAGGCTGGGACTATAGCTCAATGATGGAGCGTTTTCCAAACATGTACAAGACCTCAGGTTCAATCTCTGGTGTTACCAGAAGAAGAAAAAAGAAAGAAACCTTGACTCTAGGTTGCCTTGACAAGATGGTATGTGGCTATACTGGGTTTTACAGAGATGAGTAGCTAAGCCAGATGGTGTGTGTGTGTGTGTGTGTGTGTTCAGGAGCCTGAGGGTGAGCTACATGTGTAAGGGTGCAGTGGTGCACATTGTATATGGAAGTGTGTGGGTGTTTGTCTGAACTTAGGGGGTGTGCATAGGTGAGCACAGCTGCAGGTACCAGGCTGTGCTGTTGTCCTGGCTTGCATGGGTGTTTTTCAAGGCCTTGCTGCAGCCTGAATAGGGACCATCAGCATAAAAACATGACAAGGGCTACCAGGGGCCTTGCAGCTGGGGACTGACCCACACAGACAGCCCAAGGACAGACCTGCCTGCCCCTGTCCTCCTGCTCCTTCTTGCCTGGCGGCAGTGGTTTTCAAAGGAGTCTCCATGAGGACTGTTTCTGTGTAGTCCCCCCCCCCAGCCAGTGCCTCTTCACACACGGTGACGCCCTCCAGGCAGCCTCGTGGAAGCTTCTGCTTGGACCATCTGAAAGCAGGTGGGTGGGTTGAGAGTCTTTGTTGCTCCCCAGGGACAGAGGAAGTAGCTGTACTCCTGGGGCCCAGTCACAACTGGAGACAGATGTCCCTGCCTGTCTTAATAGTGTGAGGTACCCCACAGCAGAGGGCTTCTAGGGGGGCAGTCCCCAGGTGTACCCCTGAGCAAAGGCTAGGACTCTGCCTTTCATCTTCCTAGAGGTCACTTCCACTTCCTCTCACCATACAGCGCCCCCCCCCCAGGTTTCCACGCCTCCTGACTCCTCCGGGACCTCCAAAATGTACAAGTGCCCTGTGTATATGCTTACCGCTCCAACAGCTCCAAATAATGCTAAACATACCTACAAACACACAGCCCCAACACTTCTACACACAACCACCCAAACCAACACCTCCTTGATATATCCAACTGTCTCACAAGCACATAGCCAACACACCCCAAATGCAAACACCACGTAGCTACCCTTGTAAGCTGCAACACCGCCCCAAAACACCACCGGGAGCCCTAGTTATAATCCTGATACCCTCCCACACATTGCTTTGTAACCCTAGCATCTCTGATATCAAGGACCCATACTTGCCCTCGAGTACACGGTTCTCAGACCTCTGGCAGCTCTCCAGATATAGCCTTCCCATCCTAGTATAGCAGTTCCTGCCACACTCTCAGACTCACAGCCCCCCTTTAGTCCCAGCACCTCCACACCCATTCCCAGTTAGAGTCACTGTAACCTGTCCAGGAACAGGCTTCATCTTTCCAAACACAGTGCAGTCCCAGCCCTTAACCGGACCTGATTTTTATTACTCCTAGACACACACACACACACACACACACACACACACACACACACACACACACACACACACACACACGGCTTCTACCACATTCCCAAGTGCATCAGGGCCTTCACCAGACACACCCAAGACCTGCTTACAGCCCTCATACGTTCCCACATCTTAGATTTCATGTCCAGCGTCTCACATCTCACATAAGCCTTTACCCCCCCCCCAGAGCCTGGCAGCCTGCACCCCCACCTTTTCAGACAAGCCCCTACCCACAGTACACGTTGTGTGCACGCACATGCAAACACAAAATCGAGGTTCTTTATTTCCACCTTTATCTCAAACACACATCCTCCAGCATACCTCCAAAGGTCCTCATAGCTTCAGTACCGCCCAGTATACATATGCATGCATTCGACTCCACGCTTCCATAGGCAACCCGCCTGAGCCCTCACAGCTCCCCAGACTTAGCCAGCTCTGACTCTAGGCTCAACCCTGGAAAGGCACAAGGATACTCCTACACCTTTCTCCAAACACACTCAGCCTGTCTATAACATGCACAGCCTTGCCTAGTCACCGCCCTGACCCATTCGCCCCTTTGAGCTCACATGTAGCTTTTCAGCTTCCCCGGCACCCCATGACACCCTGTCACACACCCCGCCTCAGCCTCATTTCTTCTGCAGCCCTCACTCCCACCAGCCACACATTCCAGCACTCCCTCCCCCACTAGGCTGCTTACCCCCAGACAGCCTCGCCTTTCACACGCACTGCTCTCTGTCTGCTGCCCAAGCCTCCCCCACTTCCCAGAGCCTCCTCTGCCTGGGGAGCCATCTCCACTCCTCACTGCCCCAGGCCTTCCATTCTTGGACAGTGAGGCTGGACATCTGGTTCAAAACTGCCCCCCAGATCCTGGGCTGTGGACACTCTGGCCTAAGCTGGGGAGGGGGATTGAGCCCTTTTTGGGAATAGGCAGAGCCACTTGGCACCTGGTCACCCTGGACTCTCAGCCAAGAACTCTTTGAGTACCTAGCTGTGCCTGGGCTCTGGCATGCTTGTTGGGGGTAGGGAAGGTTACTCCCACATCCCAACCCTGCCAGACCCCGCCCCCCATACCTGAGAGGGACAGAGCTTTGAGAAAGGGATGGGGAGGGTGCTGACTTGATGAGCCCCCATCCCTAGGCTGTGGGGCTTGGCCTCCCTGGGAGTCAGTTCCTTTACTAGATGCATGGTTTTAAACGGAATCTCCACCATCTGTTCCACCCCCTAATTACAGATGCACAGAATCCGCCTCAGAGGGCAGCATGAGGGGAGTGATTTAGAGCCCGAGCTGCTCCTTCCTGCCTGCTTTAGGGATGGAGAGACTGAGGTAGGGGGTATTACAGTCCCCCCCAACTCACTTCTGTCATGAGGGTCCCTGGTA